TTTGGGCTTGCGTTCCTTTCGCTTGGTATTCTCCTCATCCTCACTTTGCGTATCTTGTGAAGAACGCAGTGAGATCACAGCAGTAGTCACTTTTGGGAACGGCTGGTGTTCCACTCCCATTGTTACATACTTGAATCTCCCTGCTCTGATAGCCTTCTGTATTTCCTTTCGGAAATGCGTACATTGATTAGTGTAATGCGTAAAAGAATTATGCCACTTACAGTATGGCCTCCCTTTTATCTCTTCTTTCGTTGCTAAACGTTGCCCTTTAGGAATGCGAATTTGCCCGTCTGCTTTAGACGCATCAAAGGTTGGTTGTTCCTTCTTTTCTGTCCCAGGAAGGGGCTTTAGTTTGGAACACACATACGGCTTGCCGCTCACAATTTCAGCCGCCATTTCTTCAATGATGTTTCCCTGCTCGTCATCTGGTGCATACATTTCTGTATCAACACTAGCCATCTATTGAACCCTGTTCCGTCGGAAATTATGATCTTTTTCTCTAAAAAGAGATTCTAGCCTTCCTGCTTTGGAAGCCAGACTGGCCAAATCCTGAATATCGTGGGCTGTCAACGCATCCCGCAGTCTGGTGTGCATATTCCTGACCACTAAATTGGTCATCTCGCTTTCTTCAATGATTGTCGGGCACTGTCCCTTCATTAGATGTATTCGCTTTATAAATTGATAAGCAGTCTCTTTTGGCATCAGCCAGATCTCTAAGAGATATGCGAGCGAAACCGTTGGGAGCGGATTAAAGAATCTCGCATGGAATGCGGCCTCCAGACCTTCCCAAGTTTGCAACTGTCCCGGTGGTAAATTAGCGAACCATGAAAAAGCGGTTCTTGTGAGCGATAATCCAAACAACTGTAATTTGTAAAACGAAATATTGCCCACTTCCCCCAATTGAGCCGTGAAGCGTCCCACATGCTCAATGGTTGATGCTCCATCTTCTCCCGAAAACGAGTGAAAGTCGGGTGGTTTGTAATTCCTCGGAAGGGGGTGCTCATTCATGACTCTTTCTGGGAATGGCCTCGGATATGCTGGTCTGTTGACCGTCTGAGGATTCATTCCAAAATGCACTCTCAAGACTTGAATAATATCCTCCGGATCTACCCTGGTGGAACGGGGTCAAATACAGGAATGAGATTGTGAGTCTGTCCTCCCAATCTTTCTTCTCTGGGGTCGGTTGGTTCGACCCTAACACCCAGTGGAATATTATTTGGGTATGTGAGAGGAGTCTTTCCCCTGTCAACCCTAGTGATAGTAGCACTTGGAAAAGTGCTATCCACGTAAGAGGGCCCCGCAAAATTTGCCTGTAATCTGGATGGTGATGACTCTGGCGGTGTCTGGGTGGATTGCAAGTAACCCTTGATAACGCCTGATTTAGCATATTTTGCATAAGATTTTGTTGCTCCCGCAACATTTGTTGCTCACGCAACATGTTTTGCATAGCTTGATTATGTTGATTGTTCAATTGTTGAACATAGGACACCCAGTCAGCAGGTGCTTGAAGTGTTTCCCCTGCATTTGGCATGACAGGTGGTGAAACAGTTTCTCCCATCGGTGCTGAAAATGGTTGAGGCTGTAAGCCTGCCATATGGATCCTTCCGATGATTCGGCCGGACCTCAATCGTATGAAGTTCTCTGTTGACGTAGGATCAGCAATCTTGTCTTTCTCCCACCGTGGTTGCCAATTTGTTGATGTGTTTTTTCAACAATAAAAAGTAAAATCCGAAAATAGGAAATTATCTTCGAATTTGATATAATTAGTGCTTGAGATTAGGAATCTCTAAACACTGTAGGATACATAAATAAAATAGGAAAATAAAAACTACATACTGGAAAATAAAGTGGTGATCCCCAAAAGCAATTCTGTTGAACTTGATGTCGATTGAAGATGGTTTCTTAGGTCAGGAACAGACCTATTTAAAACCCTTTAAAGAAACGGTTTTGAACCGCCGTTTGGTCGGTTACAGCAACCGCTGTCAACCGCCCAGAAAGTTCTCTTCTGTTGACACGTGTGTTAACCGACTCACCAAGTCGTGCCTTCAAACCCGCTCATCAGTTAAAACCTCCCTCAACTGTCCAGGAACTGCTCTTTCGCCCGACCTGCACATCTACTGCTTCCTTCCTCGACCTGATCATGTCCGACCTCAGCGCCCGACCTTATCACGCCCGACCTTATCCTGCCTCATTTCTGTACCAGACCTTATCATGCCCGACCTTCTAGCTCAACCTCATTACGTCCGACCTCAATGCCCGACCTTATCGCACCCGACCTTCAATCCCGACCTTATACCGTCTTATCTCTGTGGCCAACCTTATTACGCCCGACCTTTGAGCTCGACCCGACCACGTCCGACTTCAGTGCCCGACTTTATTACGCCCGACCTTTGCACCCGATCTTGTTACACCTGAGTTTCGTGCCCGACCTGATCACACCCGACCTTGTTACACCTGAGCTCCGTGCCCGACCTGATCGCACCCGATCTTTGCACCCGACCTTGTTATACCTGATCTGCCTTTTCCCGATGAAGCTTCTTCCTTAACCGCGTTTATATTCGGACTTTTGAAAGCCCATTAAACTCGAATAAATCTTAACCTAATTTGATAGGCCCATTCTCGAAAACCCTACCTATCTTTTTTTTTTTGTGCTCAATAGTAATATTTTTATTTTGTAAAATTTTAATATTTAAATGTTTTATATAAAATGTTTAATTAAATATTATTTTAATATTAGATTTAAATTAATATTATTAATTTGTCTAAAAGAAATATATTCATATTAAATTTACTATATATTATTTAATTATTTATAAATTATATTAATTAAATATAGAATATATAATATTTAAATTAAATAAAATAATAAATTTGTTGAAGTGGAAAAAATAGAATTTAAAAACTTTTATTTTGAATTATAAGATAAAAACTGTGTATGTTATAAAATATAACAAATATATATAATTATATAAGATAATATATATATATATATATGTATGATGTATAAAATATATGATATGTAATATATATAGTATATGTATAGATGTATATATGTAAAAGTTTGTATTTATTTTAGAGAGAAGAATAGATAGATCGTGAGATTGATTTGAGAGAGAGAGTAGAGTAATTCATATATCATTAGTTCAATTTACAAAATGCCTTTAAATAGGTTTTAAAAAATATGATTACTCATCACATATTAGCCACTTGGCATTATTACATAAAATATATACAACTTATATATTAATAAAATGACACCTAATAAATGAATAAATAAATCATAACACTCCCCCTTAGGTGTTATTTTATTGCAATTAATACGCCTCGTTAAAACCTTACTAGGAAAAAATCCAACGGGACAAAAATCCTAGTCAAGGAAAAAGAGTACGTCATTCATGCATTAAAAATACTTCCCTTGATGTGGACATCACTTGAAATATTGCTCCCTGATGTGGACATCATTCTGAAGCCGCTTCATAGGCCTATTTGATTCCTGCTCATCAAAATATCTCTGACGGTAATAAAAAAACCTGCCACGACCTCGTCCACGGTCGGCTCCACGTCCACGACTCATTCCACGTCCACGACTAAATCCACGTCCACTGCCTTGTCCGCGACCTCGTCCGCGGTAGAATCTAGGCATATTATTCAAACACTGAGTCGTATTCACTTCAGAGAATGGACTTGCACAAGTTGGTCTCGATTCATGATTTTTCAATAATAATTCGTTATTCTGTTCAGCAACAAGGAGACAAGTAATAAGATCACAATATTTATTAAAACCCCTTTTCTTGATAATGTTGCTGTAAAACTATATTAAAGACATGAAACGCGGTGAACGCATTTTCCAACATATCTCTATCAGTAATATTTTCTCCACAAAATCTTAACTGGGACGTGATTTTGAACATCGTAGAATTATAATCGGCAACTATTTAAAAATATTGCAAATGCAAGTGTTGCCATGCGTGTTTCTCTTTTGGCAATATGACAAATTTCAGGTGTCCAAACCGATCTTTCAAATTTGTCCATAATTCAAATGGATCTTTCACCATTAAATATTCAGGGCTTCGTCAATATAATAACGCAAGAAAATCATTGCCTTTGCACGTTGTTGATTTGTGCATTCATTTTCACTAATTATTGTTTTCGAAAGCCCCATGGATTCGAGGTGCATTTAGACATCCATTACCCACGGCATATAATTATTTTCGGTAATTGCCAGTGGGGGAAATTCAAACTTTGCTATATTAGACATTGTTAAAAGAAAATAAATACTTACCAAAAATTCTGCAACCTTCCGAATAATACAACAAAAACAACAACAAAAAAATACACTATCTTTTATGTGCACTTCCTCGGCAAAGCCTTGTGCTGATTAACGTGTTATAAAATATAACAAATATATATAATTATATAAGATAAAATATATATATATATATGTGTGTATGGTGTATAAAATATATGATATGTAATATATATAGTATATGTATATGTATAGATGTACATATGTTAGTTTGTATTTATTTTAGAGAGAGGAATAGATAGATAGTGAGATTGATTTGAGAGAGAGAGAGTAGAGTAATTCATATATCATTAGTTCAATTTACAAAATGTCTTTAAATAGGCTTTAAAAAATGTGATTACTCATCACACATTAGCCACTTGGCATTATTACATAAAATGTATACAACTTATACATTAATAAAATGACACCTAATAAATGAATAAATAAATCATAACAGTGTAAATTTTTTATAGATTTTTAAACTAGTGTGATACGATAGTGGTGAGAAAAAAAAAACCTTATAAAAATAAGAAATTTATTTTGCATTATGGATTATGGATGATCTTAAGAAAAATGCAAATGGAAAAAAAACAAGAGTACCTAATCTGAATGTATGTAGTGGTTCAGGCAGGACTTATTTTCGTTTGGACAGTACTGACTGCACATGGCTGCCGCCTTAAACGTCGTCGTTGAAAAAAAAAAAACAAAAAAACGTCGTCGTTGAGATGTTAGTTTCACTGCATCAAATAAAAACCAACCTACAAAGCTAGGATTGATCTGTCTGTGTGTTTGAGATAGACGGAATGGCGCTTCGGAGAACCGGGACTTCCTGCACATCGCGCCTCCGCAAGGTTGAGGTCCGGGACTGTGCCCTAGTCGTGTCGGCCGTCCTCTCGGCCACCCTCCTCCTCTACATACACCTTCTCGACCTCCACCAACAGACGACCATTTCTTCTCCTGCTCCTCCATCGGGGCCATTGCCCCTCCATCACCTCCTCTTTTCCATCGCGTCTTCTTCTGCATCCATTCATTCCCGCGCCTCATACATCCGCGTTTGGCACGCTCCAATTTCTCGACTCAACACCACTTTCCTCTTCCTGGATCGTCCGCCGCCTCAGCCTCAGCCGGCAGCCTCTCTCCCTCCCATCATCATCTCTCCGAACGCCTCGTCGCGTCACATCGGCCACCGCATCGCTCGAGTCGTTAGAGATGCTGTTGCCCTTGACGTTCCAGGGATTTACTGGTACGTTTTTGGTGACGACGATACCTTGTTATTTACTGAGAATATAGCGAGGATCTTGTCCAAGTATGATCACAATCAGTGGTATTACATTGGGTGTAATTCCGAGAGCTATGAACAGAATGACAAATTCTATTTCGATATGGCGTTCGGCGGTGGCGGGTACGCCATTAGTGCCCCTCTAGCTAGGGTTTTGGCACAGGTTCTTGACTCTTGCCTAAACAGGAATGCCCATTTGTATGGAAGTGATGCTCGGATTTTCTCTTGCTTAGCTGAGCTTGGCGTCCAATTGACAGTTGAACAAGGATTCCATCAGGTCCGAGCCATTTTATTTTATTTTATGTTATCTGTTAATAAATAAAATGATTGAACTTGTAGTAAAGTGTAATATTGGGTAATTTATAGGTTGATGTTCGGGGAAATCTTCATGGATTGTTGTCTGCACATCCATTATCACTCATGGCATCACTGCATCATATAGATGCTGTAGATCCCATCTTCTCTTTCATGAGCAGGACTGAGTCTTTAGAACATCTTTTCAAAGCTGTGAGTCTTGATCCTGCCAGAATTTTCCAACAGACAGTTTGCTATGATGCAAACAGTTTGATAACCGTATCTGCATCTTGGGGTTATGCTGTTGAAATATATGAAGGAAATCAACATCTTCCTGAACTTCTTTCCTTTCAGAGATCTTTTAGGCCATGGAAAAGAGGGAAAAATGTGGCCTCTAGCCGGTTTATGTTTAACATGAGGGAGTACCCGAATGATCCATGCAAAAGACCTGTCGTTTTCTTTCTGCATTCTGCAGTTAGAGATACAGATGGGGTATGGACCAATTACACTAGACATGAGGCTAGAAATTGTACTAGAGCCAAAGTTATTGAGAAATTTAAAGTAGTTCGTGTTTTCTCGCCTGTTGTAAGATTTGATATGGAACAGGTACTACTGGTGCTTTCCTTCAATATATTCAACCTGTTGTTGGAGCAAATTCTTGTTTCTCATGGCTATTTTCTTTCTATGCTAGATGAAGGCACCCCGTCGTCATTGCTGTGTTATTTCATCATCTTCAGATGAAGACATAACCATCCAAATAAGGAATTGTGGGATTTTTGAACTAATTGCCATGAGGGGATAAATGTGGTATTTCCTTCTTAGTGATATACTGGAACTATAGTTGACACGTGAAGCTTTCTTTTAGTCCAGGTACATTGTTGAATTTAGGTTTTGAAAAGTTTGCTGAGTTAAGTTTTGCACAGTCTCAACGGTGTGTACAAAGTTTGCTGAGTGAAGTTCTGCAGTCTCAATAGTTTATACCTTTGCATTCACCAGTTTTCTTTTCACTCATAACAGGCGTCTCTTGGCCTCATAAATTGTGGCTTTATATATTTCTTGCACCTGTCAATGTATTTTATCTAGTTGGTTGGTGTGGAATGGATGGACAATACCGTGCGCTGCTTGGCTTTTTTTTTTTTTTTTTACCTGGATGAGACTTCTGATGGCTTTCATTGTGGTGTTATGATGGTTGTAGTTAATTGTAGATTAAATATTCCTGTTCCATTGTTTCAAATGCTGGCATATTCTTGCAATGTACTCAATGCTATTTTTCTCAATTCTTTATTTCTAAAATATGGTTTTGGTTTTGGTTTTGGTTTGGATAATAATGAGGTGGACTGTTAGTTGAAGAATATCATCTAATTATTGAGAACTTCCTATGGAAACCATTTTTTTTTTATAAATGAATAAATTTAGAGATTCGATTAACATAAAATGATTGTTTGAATAATTCTAGCATAGAGCATTGTAGTTATTGTTGTTTTTTACTTTGGATATACTTTTCAGCATCTACTTTAAGTAGCATCTGGGAAATGGCTCATGACATCATGTGCCCTGGAGTACAATCTAAGTTAATATATATTTTTACTGAAACCCTCCCTTGATTTTTGTTCCCATGTTCATTTAGCTGATAGCCAAAGCATTTGACTTTCTATGTTCTTGCTGTATGTGACGTAGATTATTCTGTTTATTCTATTTGCATGCATATATATAGGGGAAGTAAAACTTTCACTTGTTTTGACCGACTAGAGAGTGGAATAGAGTTTTCCTTTTCTCTTCACAGGGAAACATAAAATGCAATTTCTACAATTGAAGCATCACTCGCTTAGTCGCTTCACAATTTTTATAGTCATTTCTTCTGTTCTATGCATCTCATATCTACTCACCTCAATTTTCATCTTTCCAAACATAAAATCTGCAGATTTATCAGCTTCATCGAATGCTTTATCTTCAAAAACTTCACTTGCACATATTGTCTTTGGCATTGCTTCCAGTGAGAAGTCTTGGGGGACTAGAAAAGATTATGTTAGGCTGTGGTGGAGGCCCAAAGAAATGAGGGGCTGTGTGTTCTTGGACACATATCCACCTTATGCAAAGATGGATCAGGCGGAATTCCCTCCTGTTTGCCTCTCAGGAGACACATCCCATTTCCGTTACACCTATAGGAATGGCCTCCGGTCAGCCATACGGATAGCCCGTGTTGTGTCAGAGACAGTTTGGTTGAACTATACTAATGTGAGGTGGTTTGTGTTTGGGGATGATGACACCATTTTCTTTCCTGAGAATTTGGTGAAGATGCTGTGTAAGTATGACCATGGCCTTTGGTATTACATTGGCGCTAATTCGGAGAGTGTTGTTCAGAACAAGATCCATTCTTACGGAATGGCATTTGGAGGGGCTGGTTTTGCTATAAGCTATCCTCTGGCAAGGGTATTAGCTAAGGTTTTGGATTCTTGTCTGCATAGGTATCCTCATTTGTATGGAAGCGATGCCAGGATTCAGGCCTGTTTGGCAGAGCTTGGAGTTGGGTTGACCCATGAGCCTGGATTTCATCAGGTATCTCACTCGTCAGCTTTTTAAAATTTTGTGTATTCTGAAGTCTGTATTGTATAACATTATTCAGTTATTTGTGGCTCTTTGGGATTGCGTGATGATGTAACAAACATTGGATCAGATGGATATTCGAGGGAGTATGCACGGTTTCTTGGCTTCCCACCCGCTGCAGCCATTGGTTTCACTCCACCATCTGGAAGCATTGGATCCAGTTTTCCCCCAAATGACACCACTTGAGGCACTGCAGCATTTATTCGGAGCTGTAAGGATTGATTCTGAGAGGGTAGTGCAGCAGACAGTGTGCTATGATCGGTGGTTTTCTTGGACTGTTTCAGTGTCTTGGGGTTATGCAGTTGAGATCTTTCCCCACCACATGTTCTTGCTGGATGTGCTGCGTGTACAGGAAACATATGGCCCTTGGAGAGAAGGAGGTGGCATTAATGATGTATATGCAGTGGACACAGTGGGATATGACCCTGATCGATGCCGTAGGCCAGCGGTTTTCTTCATGCATAAGGTGATGTATTCTTCTTCTTCTTCTTCTTCTTCTTCTTCAGGAATAATGAGCAGTTACAGAGCGATGGGTGAGGATAACTGTACAGTGGACAGTGTATCGCCAAGGAAGCTAAAGGAGATCAGAGTATACTCTGAGAAGAAGGAGAATGAGTTTGAAGGTGGTGGTGGAAGGAGAAGAGAGTGCTGTGATGTGTTGGGGTCTTCTTCTGGGGATGTGATGGAAGTCGCTATAAGGGAATGTGGCCACCAAGAGTTGATACGTTAATTAATTAATTATTATTGTTATTATTATTGGAAAAAGCTAAGGAATTAAAGCAGCTTAGTTAGTTAGTTAGTTAGTTGGTTTAGGTTAGGACCCGACACTGCACTGCACAACACAACACAACACAGGGAAGCAGGCAGGCATGGTTTCCAATTATGCGTTTTGCATTCTAATTATATGTATGTATAATTACAATATGAATAATCAATCCATCTCTATGTATATATCTGTAGTTTGTATGGATGAATGGAATGAATGTATTCACAACAGCGAGAGAGACAGAGAGAGAGAGAGACAGAGAGAGGGAGGGATTGAAGGCATTACTACCCTGTAGGCTACGCTATGCCACTTTTTTATGCGTGATTGGTTTTGGTTGGTTAGTTTAGTTGGTTTCAAGTAGGTATTTTACAATAGAATACATATACATACATGGCCGCCAATCGCCATTCATGTCAATCAACTTTGAGGTTTTCCAAATGCATATGTAATGCCTGCTGGTCGGTCAATCGGTACAACTATTCCTACTCCAATTTACATTACTCAATCACTGTATGTATGTATACATATTCAAACGCAGCAGCTGGTGGATGTTCTGGAAAGAAGAATAAGTGGAATCCTCACCTTGTCTGTCAATCATTTCCATCCATCCATCCATATCTCATCTCATCTCATCTTCTAAATTTTCTATTAACACTGATGAAACTAATTAATAGTTATTGAGATTGGTGCTATCTTTTATATATGATATGAAAAAGCGGTATGTGGCATAGAATGAAATTGTCTTTGTCCAGTCCCTCGTCCCTCGTCCTTGTTTTTACTTTACTTTACCCAGAAAACGCCATTTAATTTCCTTCCTTCCATAGTCTTCCTCTCTGATTCCATGGCCGCCGCACAAAAGCAGATTTTTTCTCCGTTTTTTTTTTTGTTCCTTGTATAAACAAATTATTAATACCCTTAGGTCCAGATATTTTCTCCTATCTTCTTCTTCTGCTGCTGCTGTTCCTATCTATCTATCCTATCTATGTATCTCTATAAAGTAATATTGGCATAGCATGCATGATCAATAATCAATTCAAGCCCATTACTCTATCAATAAGAAGCAGAATGAGAAGAGTTGTTTCCTAGCTAATTTACTAATACATATTAATTATATATATATATATATATATTTCCCATTAGATTATATTATGAATATGATTATGGGTACTGCAGCTGCTGTGGGATTATCGCCTCATCATCATCATCATCATCGTCATAGCAGATTACTAATGATAGCAGAAGCATTCGATCAACAAATACCACAACTGTCGATGCTACCGAATATTTTTACTAAGAAGAAAAGCAGCGGTGGAGGAGGAGGAGCAGGAAGAGGACTCAAATTCAAAAGCAAGCTAACTAGGTTTAATGGGTGCATCCACACGGGATTGAGAAGGCTCCTAAAAGCCCCTCCTTGTGCTAATGCTGCTACTCCTCTCACTACCACTACACAAGAAGATGCTTCTTCTTCTCCTACTCCTATTGATCAGGTAAGGTAAGGTAATGTAAGGTAATTAAGTTAAGGTAAGGTAGCATTATATATATATATATATATATACATATATGTAATCCTCAATTCTATTGTAATTTTTCATTCTATTACATTCAATTCCATCAACATTAATTAATTAATTAATGGTTGGGGCCACAGCCACCTTAATTTGCCTCTCGGTGGACTGTGTGTTCATGATCATATCCAATTAAACTAAGGCTATATCTATATAATATACTACTATTAACTAATTCACTCCTCTCTCTTTCTTTCTTTCTCAGAGAATAATACCCTCCTCCAAGTCCCGCAAAGGGCCCCTTGCAAACTATGTACCGCTCTTCGTTATGCTTCAGGTACGTACGTATGTATATGTATGATATATAAAAATAAAAAAACAGTAAAAAGAAAAATGTATGATATGTACGTGTGTACTGTGCTGCTGTGTAGTCTTGTCTACTCTAGTGTAGTACTCCTATTAGTATTCTGTTTTCTTTCTGCTCAAATTAATCAATTAATTCTACTATTACTGTATATTTTAGTAAATGAAACGGACATATATATATATATATATAGTTGGGAGTGGTTAGCGGAGAGAATGAATTCGTGGAGGCGGACAAGCAGAGGCTGGAGAAGCAAGTGGAGATGCTGAAGCAGGCGGGAGTGGACGGGGTGATGGTGGACGTGTGGTGGGGGATCGTTGAGGCGGAAGCTCCTAGGCACTACGACTGGTGTGCTTACAGGAACTTGTTCCACCTGCTCCAAAAGAAAGGCCTCAGGATACAAGCAATTATGTCATTCCACCAGTGCGGCGGCAACATTGGGGACGCAGTCTACATTCCCATCCCGCGCTGGGTAAAGGTTCATCCAGATCCACATATTTTCTACACCGACAGGTCCGGGAACACAAACCCCGAATACCTCTCCCTTGGCGTCGACAACCTGCCTCTCTTCCACGGCCGGACACCTCTTCAGGTATTATTTATTTACATATATCTGCCAATTGCAAGTGAATGACGATGTATGCACCATTAATTGTAGATGTACAGCGACTACATGCAAAGCTTCAGGGAGAAGATGGCAGATTTTTTGGAGGACGGGACAATCATAGACATTCAAGTCGGGTTAGGTCCAGCAGGGGAGCTCCGCTACCCATCCTACCCAGAAACACAGGGATGGATATTCCCAGGAATTGGAGAATTCCAGGTGAGTCATGAATCTAGATTGTTGCTTCTTTTCTTCTGTTGTTATTGGATTTATTCGATAATACTGAATTGAATTGAATTGAACTATCTTTGAGAGTGGTCAAATGGAATGCGCTCTCGAGAATGCCGGTTCGACATTGAAGTCAAGTATGAAATAACATATAGAAAGTGAAGATGAAGTGTAAAATAATATATAGGAAGTGAAAACGTAAGTGTGAAATAACAAGCACAAAGTAAAGATATGGCACTACTTAGTTGAACAAATGAATTAATCATAACTAATAGGATGTTTCGTAAAAAGTCTTTCTAAGAACTTTAAGTTTATTGAATAGCTTCTGCTTGACATTACATTAGCTAATTTCATTATTGTCCCAAAAAGCTAATTTTTAAAATGTTATATTCTATTTTTCATACTAATTTTTTCATTTATATTTATCTTATATACGGTCCTTACAAATTAATTCATTCTCTTGCACAAATATAATATTTTTTTTATTACATTATTTATTAATTATTTGAACATATATTTTTTTCTAAAAACTTATAAATTTAAAATAATTTAAATAATTTCTTTGTATGTCAATAATTTATTTATTTTTTATGTCAATGATTTTATTTGTAAAATTTTTAAATTTTTTAAAATAAAGGCAATATAAAATATATTAATTTGTCTACAAAATATTTAAAAAATAGCAAAGCTCAAATATTTTAGTAAAACTTTCATAATTTTCAGTAATTAATAATAAAATTCTAAAAAATCTTATACATTAAAAAATTCAACTAAATATTTTATAAATAAATTATAAAATATTCTTAATTGTCAATTTTACGTATAAATAACTAATTTTATCAAATACTTAAGCATAAACAACTAATCTATTCAACTAGTAAGATCAGCTATAACAACTAACTGTTAATCAAATCAGTTTGAATAGTAAAAAGTTGAATTTGAATATTTGTTTGATATGATATAAATAGATGTTAGATGTGATGTGTTGAATGTAAAATAAATTTGTAATATAATATAAAAAATGAAAAGTAATTGTTTGATGGGTGCTCTACTTTGTTCTATCTTAAAGGGTGGAAGAAATGTGTGGGTGCTCTACTTTGTTCATGTGATATTTTTGGAAGAAAAAAGAGTCTTAATAGTAAAAACTTGCGGTAAGAACACAACCTATATATTTTTGTAGAAACTAGTGTAGGTTTGTTCACATTATTTCTAAGTGTCACAATTTTTCATAAATATTATTTAAAAAATATAATATATATAAATATTAATACAATATATAATATATATACATTTTATTTGCTCATAAGAGTCAATTTTTCAATGTAAAATATTATTTTTTATATTGCAGACAATTCCTCGTATCTTATGTAAAAAATAAATTTATAAAAAGAAAAACATAAAAGTAAACAAACTCTATATTGTCTTTTAATAATTATTTGAAAATTATATTTTCAAATTAGGAGTATATAAAATATTCTAAATTCAAATTTATTTAAATTTTAGCCACTTTTAATGAAGAGATTTTACTTCTTATTTGTAAATTTAAGTCGAAGCTTTTCAATGACATTTTTTTTTATTCAAATTTTAAGTCACATATTTTTTAAAAATGACACTTCTTAATTTATAGATATAATTCTTACTTTCAGAGAAAAATAGAGGGTGAGATAATAGGGTGTGTTTTCCTACAATTTCCGATAAATACATTTTTCCGAAAAAAAACTTAATATATTACACACTCATTATTTTTATATTACTTATACAATTTTCTATACCTCACGTAAAAAAATATATCTTCAAACAATTTCACTAAATAAACACACTCATATTAATACTTTCATTTAAAGAAAACACATATATGATAGAAGGTCACTTTGTGTGAAATAAACAGAAAACTTTGAGTATCTTTTCTCCATAGTTATGGAAAATATGTTGTTTATAAATAAGTATTCTCTCAATCTTTTATGTGCTCGAGTTTTTGCCTAAACTTCAAATGTTACTTTTTTTTTACCTTTGTACGGATGTCGTGTAACCCGAGTGATGCGAACTTGCCAAGGATGATAGTTCGGATCGAATTTCACAAGAATAAGTAACAATAATATAGGTAGATTTTGGTAGCATAAGGATGGATGAATAAATTTATATATATATATATTAATGAAGATAATCTAGACTCTCTTGAATTGAGAAATAGTCGGGAAGGCAACACGAGAGATCAAGCTCACGCTTCACAATTCTCTAAACAAACCGATAATAAAAGGTAAGACAAGAATAGTTCCAGTACTATTGAAGATGCCACGACTTGTTTCAAATCACTCGAAACAACTCGATTCAGGGGGGTATGAAGATATAACCGAATTACTCAATATTACACTTCAAACAATGTACAAAAATTGCTCTTAGAAAAACAGTTTATAAAATATCTTTGTTTAAAAATGAATCCTTACAATGTAATGATGGAACCTTTTATAGAGCATGAGAATTAAAACAAGAAATTGCACTCTTAAAGGAAATAAATCATATAGATTCTAATAGCATTATTATAGTATTATTGACCCATAATCAATGGCAATCCTTTGATTCTCGGCAATCCCATTATCTATAGAATTCCTTCGATTAGGGGATATTGATTACCGGGATCCCTTTAATTAGGGGTAGTGATTTATAGGAGGTCCAATGCCTTGTAAACTGCTACTGGCCTTATAGTCCTTAGGACTTGTGGTCCAATTCTAAAAGAATGCATACTTATTTTCATCCCCGGTGTAGAGTTCAGCCGTTGCATCCATTTGAAGTTGGCACATTTTATAATTGCCAATTGAAATTTATAGGCTCGGCTCCTAGTGATTGGTCTTTGAGGAATTATAATTGAGTCCGATTCCATCATGATGGCCACATCATCCCTCTCTCTTGAAAAGGTTGATCCGTCACCTGCATCAAAACGGAGATAAGTTAGCAACATTAAATGTAGCTTAGGCATTATGCTCACATGGGAGGTCTAGTTTGTAGGCATTATCGTTGATGCATGCAACGACTTGAAAAGGACCATCGTCTTGTGGGGACAACTTAGACTTGCGTTGTGTGGAGCCACACCCAATCACTGAGTTGGAAGACAATCTTCTTGCGGTGACGGTTAATAGCTTTGGCATTCTGCGCGTTGGTTGTGTCAATTTCTTTTTGTACTGTCTTATGAAGCTCCTGAATCTTTTGTGCCCAATCCCTGAAATTAACATTTTGTTGCTCACTACATGGTAGTGGCAATAGGTCAATCGGAGAAAGAGGATTGAAGCCATACATTACCTCAAAAGGGACATGTTAGTAGCACTATGAATAGCACGATTATATGCAGACTCAACATGAGGAAGACAACTTTCCCAACTACACAAATTCTTTTTAATAATACACCTAAGGAGGGTGCCTAGGGTGCGATTTGTTACTTCAGTTTGACCATCTATTTGTGGGTGATATGAGGTAGAAAAGAGAAGTTTCGTCCCCAATTTTCCCCAAAATTTTTTCCAAAAAAAGCTCAAGAATTTAATGTCGCTATCAGATACAATCGTACGGGGAATTTCATGCATTCTAACTACTTCTTTGAAAAACAAATTAGCAATATGCATTGCGTCATTCGTCTTATTGCACGGAATAAAGTGGGATATTTTTTAAAAACTATCAACAACGACCATGATAGAGTGCTTACCCCCTTTGTACGAGGTAACCCCAAAATGAAGTCCATACTCAAATCTACTCAAGATGTGTCGGGTGTAGGCAGTATATAAACCATGTGGTAGTAGTGTGGATTTGGCTTGTCTATATGTAATGCAACGTGTAATTTGTTGTTCCACGTCCGTGCGTATGCCTGGCCAATAAAATTTTTCCTACACCCTATGAGTCCACCTTTATGGACTCCATGAGTTAAAATAGTTCGAATAGAACCTTGTTGAATACACAATCGGTCAGCCTTATACAAATAGTCCTCGTGCAAATAGAAATTCTTAAACCCAACGTTGACACACTTATTGAAATGTTAGAAAAATTTGTATCCTTTTCATACAAGGATTTTACATGTGAAAACCCGAGCAATTGATAAGTCAAAACAGTAAGAATGTGAGTGCGCCTAGAGAGTGCATCAACTATGACATTATCCTTTCCCTTCTTATATTTTATCACATAGGGGAATGTATCATTATCAACAAAAGCAATCCATCTAGCATGTCTTTTATTTAATTTAGCTTGAGTTTTTATATGCTTAAGGGAGTCGTGATCTGAGTAGATAACAAATTCCTTTGGCAAAAGATAATGTTTCCATACCTGAAGTGCACGAACCAAGACATATAACACCTTGCCGTAAGTTGGGTAGTTCAAGGCTGCGCCACCTAGCTTTTCGCTAAAGTATGCAATTGGTTGGCGATTCTGCATTAGAACGGCTCCAATGCCCACACTTGAAGTGTCACATTCAAGTTCAAATGTTACTTCAAAGTTAGGGTGTTTAAGAATTGGAGCATGAGCTAACAAATATTTCAGTTGTTGAAAGCTTCTTGTTGCGCTTCTCCCCAACTAAACGATCCATCCTTGCGAATAACAGTAGTGAGAAGGCTGCAATAGTGCTGAAATCACGAATAAACCTTCGATAGAACCCCGCCAAGCTATGGAAACTACAAATTTCACGAACAGTAGTAGCCAGACCATTCCTAGATGGCCCTGATCTTCTCCTTATCGAATTGTATTCCCTGTGCGCTAACAACATAACAAAGGAATAGACAACAGAAACACAAAATGCACATTTGTCAATATTTGCATATAGTTTGTTCTGCCGTAATAAGGTGAATACTTCTCTCGCATGATCAGTGTGTGCAGGCGAATCCTTACTATAGATCAAGATGTCATAAAAGTAAACAACTACAAACTTTCCTATGCAAGATTTAAGAACATGATTCATCAATCTCATAAAGGTACTGGGGGAATTAGTTAAGCTAAAAGGCATGACAGTCCACTTATAC